TTAACTTGGGAGAAAAAGATGTGCAGGAAATTCACATGAAGGTACCTAAATTCTGTACTGTGTCTATTCATGGGTGACAGCATTGGGGAAAATTAAGTCCATTGGGTGCAAACTGTTCAAAATGGATGAACACAATCACCCTACCTGTTTAAATTGTATGGGATGAGATTTGGACCATATCTGTCATGTCTGCTTATGCTGGATTGAGAATCTTTGGGTGACTGTCACCCTTTAACAACTAATGCTGGCAATTGAGAGAGCTAAAAGATACAGAATCAAGGATTCAGACAATATCAGCATTGATTCCAATGTTGTCTGTCAACATATTCTGTTCAAATTGTGAGTTTGTGTGTGTATGTGTGATTTAGATTTTTAATATAGCTTAAAATGTTTCATTTATATTGCTATGATGTCGGTGGCAGTTTATAGTGATGTCAGAACTGGGACATCATGTTCCACCCAGTCACATTATCTTGTCACCAGATAGACCAGTCCTAACATTAACCTCTTAATGCTGAGTGCCAAGTGAGGCAGCTGCTTGTACCATTTTTATAAATCTATGATAAGACCCAGCTGGGGTTCTAACCTGTGACATCCTGCATCCGAGGTGGATCCTCTAACCCCTTAGGAGCAGTATGTTCAAATTGATGAAGGCATATAGCTGCTTTATCTTGACCAGTATCCAATATTCCATCAACACAGACGTGTTCCGCTTGACTTCATTTCTGTAGTCGCGAGTTTCTCGAAATCGGCTCAACGAATTTAAGGATTCTTTAAACATTTTCTGCTGTTAGAAAGTGATCTTATTTCGACACAGTTTATTTACATTTGCGTGGTTTTCATAATTGCACGGCTTTTCCTGATTACATTTTATCAACGTAGCAGTAGTATTTGACGCCTTCACAATATACTACTCAAACACCTTACCTGCGCTACCTAAGGCCAGTGAAATCATTCTTTTCAACCTTATTTCGCCTGTAACCATACACCATATTTGTAATTTTAACAACAACACAAGGCGTCTCCAGACAACGGAACCATCCTTCTGAATTGCTCTATTGTTCATTTTATTATCACCGATCACTAATACTTCATATGGACTCGTATGATCGTTCCATATAGTTAGGTTTTAATAGGGTCTACTCATCTCAGGGACTCTTATTGGACTCAAACCCGAACTCTATAAAATTTAACCATGCCATCCTGGAATCTCAACATCACTGCATTATGCGATATTTTCCCTTGGTGATTGATTAATTAGTGAGGCTGAGGACACCAACTTCACAAAATGAACCAAGTGAGCAATAAAATCTATGAAATCATTAAAATGGAGAGCTATATGCAAATGGCGGAAACTTCAAATTTGTTATAATGTTTGAGATGGGTTTATGTAAAAACTGTAGAAAGATGGAACTTATTAGCCCAAATGTAAATGTAATATAAAGTCTTACGTCACGTGTTGTGCTGGACTAACTTTATCTTCCCGAGAATTTCTCGAAATTCCCTCGACTTGTTTTCTTCCTTTTTTTCTTTCTGTTATTTAGATAATATACAGGATGCGTTGTAATCAAAATCCTCTTATTAAAGGTTCGATTCTTTCAAAGGTTTGATACAATCTATCAAAATTTTAGTGTTTTTCATACGAGGTACCAATTTTTCTTTCCTATTGACGATATTCATCAGGACTTTAGTCGTTAATAGACTCTCGTACAGAGATAAAATATTAGAGAAGGTCCATTGTCAGAACTCTTTAATGAGGAAACATAGGGGACCAAATGTATACGTAAGGTATAATCTTCTGATCGCATGTCTAGACTAATTTTCGTCTAAAGTTTACTACTATTGAGATTTGTTACTATTTACAGGCTTTCAAAAAGTGGTTAAAATCAAAATTCTCCGAGTAAGGGTTCAAGCATAGCAAAGTTTAGCTGCAATCTGTTCATATATTGTAACAGTTTTAAATACTGCTGGTATCCTTAAAAACCCTCATAGTTTTCCGCTGACATTACACAAGCATCGTCAAAAATGTTTCTGGGAGCCAAATATATCTCTGTTTAGAAGATATACAATAATAAATGCCAAGATCATTTTAATGGTCATCTGTAGCAACCAGATATAAACTGAAGAGGTAATCTGCTTATGGAGTAATCTCCGGATTCCAAGAAATCGGTTCGACGATTTTTCTTTTAACGATATATTTTTTGAGAGTCGTTTATATCGATATATTCTACTTAGGGGTTCAATAATTACAATCTATTCAATCGATCTAAATTGTGCATATTTTTATAGCCGGTTCTTTGCTGATTTCTCACGATGAGAATCATCAGGACTTTTTTCGTTGCTCGATATTATCCACTAGACATAAAATGTCAGAGAAAGGTCCATGTCAAAACTCTTTAAAAAGGCGACTTATTGGCGCGCATGTATAAGTAAGATATCATCTTCATGCCGCATATATTGTACTCTCCCACCCCATGCAGCCCGAATTTCTGGGATCGGTTAAAAGAATATTTTTAATGAATGTGGCTTCTGTTGCAACAGATTCCTGAATGGAAACTGTCCATCAGAAGTTGCAACCAAGATCATTTAGTTACGGGTTTGATTCGTGCTAAGTATTGATAGATTTGATTCACATTTCATACACATAACCTTATATTTGTTTACCTAGTTCCAAGGACTTCAAGACAACAGTCTATGTCAACTGAAGGTTTATTAAACCCGTAGATACTTGAAATAATTCTTCACACGTGTATGTTTTTTTTTCTGACTTCACGTTTACCAGAGTCATTAGTAAGCCTTGCGAATCCAATACTAAATAGTTCGTGCCATGCACAACAGGACGCGATCCAAATATGTAACACAACTAATTAATCCTAGCTCAAATTACTAATTATTTATAACCAAATAACTCAAATTACTATTTATTTATTTATTTATTTATTTATTTATTTATTTATTTATTTATTTATAGCCTAGCCCCTTCCTACTAGTTTGTAATGTGTCTCTGGTCAGCTCTATATAGCTGGCACCAAAGAACTCTTATTTCTTTAACTGGGTTAGAATAGCATCAGTGGATACCCTGAAGGGCTTTTAATCTTCAAAAAATAAGTTATAACCAGTTACTCATTAAACTTTGATTAGAGAATGGATAGCCAAATGGATGTTAATAAGGAATAAGTGTGATGTGTCGAATTTTGAAACTCTTAGAAGTATTGATTAAATGAATTGTACCAAAGTTAACTTAATTAAAGTAAAAAGGACTAGAGACAGTAATATGAATATTCTCATTTCATCTCTGAATGTCAAAGGAAACTTGGTTTTGCATCACGAAATTTGACTGAGTCATCTGTTATAGTACAAAGGTTTTGGCATAACACTCTTCTAAACTGGACCGGTAAAAAGAGGAAGCACATCAATAATTGATTATTCAAAGGAAAGTTAATTGCGGCATGATTAGCCTATTCTCATTAATCAAATATTCTACGTATGAGATTTTAAGAATCAGTCGATTCTGATTGGCAAATGGAAACTTAGGTGCGCGACCATTGTAAGAAATAAATAGTTTTACTTTGCAAAATTGCTTCAGTCTTCGATCTTACTTGGAAGAAGTTAGACAGGACTGCGAGGGACGAACGCAAATAGTACGTTCCATCGTGACTGAAAAAAGGCGTTAGTCGTCTCAGAAGGTAGACCGACTATACATTGGAAGTTCGTGAGAAAAACGAATAAAACGGCAAAGGAAACAGCTTCAATGGAAAATTTCTTCAGCCAATTCTCCAGAAAAATTGATCAGAAGAATTCCACAGCCGAATTCCAGTTATAGATACTATCGTCAAATCAATCGGTCAAGTTTCGACTGGCAAGGGTCCAAGTCAAGACGATTAGACAAAGGTTGACAGTGTAAGAAGTAACGGAAAATTCAATGTCCGGATAAGGATAGGTTATGATGTCATTCAGCGCCGAACTCTAAGTCACGAGTCGTAGGCTATGATGAAACTCTGCATTAATTATGTCACTGACAATTATTAGTATAGTGAAATTTATATTTGCTTTTATTGAGTACATGTTCGTACATTTCTTTCTTTTGTTGTAAAAGAAATTGATTTTCTTTCCATCAAATTATATTGTTAAATTGATTAAATTTTATATTTGTTTATTGAAAGAGGGCTCATTGTTTTATTTATTCAATATACTTGCTCAGAGATCTGTATTATTCTTTATATCCATCCACACTGGATAAATTACACCGCTGGAGGTCATTCCCCAGCAACGAACCATAGAAAAGTGGTTGGTTTAACATTTTGAACCCATCCCCTTGTCTCAATAAGTAGCCAAATGTACGTAAAAAATAGTTGAATCCGAAATAAGTGACTGGTTAATTATTCCTTATTCAATCGGGAATAGGTAATAAGTAACTAACTTGACTACAATACCACCGCCTTTTTTTGCACCTTTCGCCCTAAGGGTGCCTACATTGTTTATACCTGACTCTGTTATTGAACAGATTCCATAAATCATTGTATATGTCTTCTTTTGTAGTCGGGTGAACTTTAATTACGAAAAATAATATTTTTTTTCCTTCAGAATGCCCACTTTTTAGAGTACTTTAAACTTAAATCCATGCCTTATATGGAATGACTCAGAAAATGCAATACATGCTTTAGAAGGAGAAGGAAACAAGCTGTGCAGAAATACAAAGCCTAAAAGCGCATATTGTTAAAACAAACATATGGTTAATAAAAAGCAAGGTAAAGCTACATGATGTTATGTGATTATTTTTAACGTAGCTTTAACAATTTTCAGTCGTATTGCTACGATGTCTGTAGTGTGGTAGTTTATAGTGATGCTTAGCACTGGGGCATCATGGCGCAGACATGTAACATGATGTCCCATCCAGTCACATTATCCTGACACCAGGCCAACCGGTTCTAACACAAACCTCTTAATGCTGAGCGTCAAGCGGGGCAGCTGTTAATACCATTTTTTAAAAAGTCTTTGGTATAACTCTACCGGGGATCGAGCCCACGACCTCCCGCATCTGAGGCGCACACTCTAACCACTAAGCCACATGAAAGATAGCGTACTGGACTCGTGACCAAAAGAATGCGGGTTCGAATCCTACCATCTGATCAGACTTTGTCGGTTACTATGGTTTGTCATTGGGCAAAGCACTTGACTCGAACTGCCTTGCCACTAAATGACTTGTGTTGCTGTGCCCTAAAATGCCAGATCAGCAACATAACTCAACGGGAAATTCGTTAGAAATTCGTCTTGTGTATTTGAGTATAAGTTAACTTTGCTTTGATTCAGTTTTTATGGCACTGTAACACATTCAGGCAATTTAGTGCTGATGAAATTGAAATAAAGTGTCTTTCCTATGTTTAAACCAACGATAACGACCTAGGCCTTTCCTATGTTACGATTGGAACTATACACCCTGCCGGTCACAAGTTGTGTACACTAACCTTCGAGCCATCGCGGCTCTTTCTGTATTATGATTATGTTAAGCTATTGCAAAATCGATCAGAATTAACTGTAACTCCGTTAAAACATAAACCAGAGAATAATAATAATGATCACAATCGAACCAAAGCGCCACACCAACAAAATCCGTGACTCGAGTATAGTTTACTAATACAAATGAAATCAGTGTATTAAAATTCCATTACATATAATACTTAACATTCAGTGTACCATTTCATTGATAAGCTGTGATATTCAGAGCATGAGATACGTCACGTCAGTAGGAAACAAAACTTCACATCGATTTTTATTGCTGTGCAAAGCCAGAACCAAACATATACACACCTAAACGTGTCGCCATCTTCGTCGTCCTCTTTTTAAGAAAGAAATATAGTTAGGAAAAACATTTATAGTTAGACAAATATAATTATTTAATAGTCGATGATCCCAGCTCTTTCTCTCCATCTTTCAACACATTCTTCGTGCAATTATTATTTATTAGAGAATGGTGACGTCGAACTAGAGAAGTAAAATATAATATTCCTTAATGTTCAGGAATATATCCACAAAACTAGATGCTTTTACTACTTACAAATTTTATTCTAAGTAATAAATATATAAATTAAATGGGAAACAGCTACTGTATCTATCTTAATGTCATTTATCCTTCATTTTTCTCTATCAGCAATTGTTTATTTACTTACTTGTATTGGTATATGTTCTTTGTATTCGTTTGAAATATTTTAATATATGATCGATTTTACCTTCTTTTTCAGATATATTCGAATTTTAGCAAAATAAATGTAATCATTAGATAATTTTATGCTTTTAAAATGGACCTTGGTGTCTTAGACACCTCGTGTACAATACCATAATGTACAATAAAATGACAATACAATATGTTTATTAAATAATATTATTCAGTCTCTTGTTACAAACTGTAAAAGCAGGCACAGTCGAATGTCTATTGTAATGTTTTGAAAATCGGGGTTGAAATATAAACCATTTAAATGTGCATTGACTTTAGGTCGGAAAATACTGGTAAAATTTGACGATCGCTTTGATGAGAAAGTTTCTAGGAATTTACTTATACTGACAGATGCGCAATCACCACCTAACTTGTTATACCTCCTCAACCTTTTTCTAAGATACTTTACATTTTTCACTGTAACGCCAGTTCTGTCAATCTATTAAAAATATTTCATTTTGGGTGGAGTGGAGTGGGGATGAACTGATTTCCAGATATAACTGAGGCTACAAAACGATCCACCATGATTTTGATTTATATGAATGACAAAGGGCTAATACATTTGAAATGTGTCTTTCCTTCTTGATAGATGCCTCAAAGCAAGCTGGTTTTGCATCATATTTCTTAGAAAATATATACTGTCATCTATTTTCAGACAGGTCATGTATATGTGTATGTTAAATGAGATAATTATATAGTATTCTGTTTGGTTGTAGTGTGATAAATGATGGTTACTTTTAATGTGGCGCATTCTGATTGCTAATGAAACTGCCTTGATAAAGGTCGGATCATAGCCTCTGAGTGAGAAAAGAGATACTCGGTAATTTGAGTGTCTTTCACATCCGCTAGCGACAGAGCGCATAATTGTCGTAATCACAAATGACAAGAAATTGTTATTTCACAGAAATTGGCCCAAACTACAGCAACTCGTGTGTAACTATATGATCTATCCTGTGAAGGGTCATCTTCTCCCGAGTTTGTGATTGTAGCAAAGTAGTATTACTAGACCCAAACCGATGATCCCACGTAAGAAAAAAAATGTAAGATTGTGCCAAGACAAGTACATTCTGTTTTGAAAAAAATATATTTGTTCACACACAAACACACACACGCGCGATTGCAATTGTTTTAAAGCTACGTTATGTTTAATCTTTAGCTTACGGATTCTCTCTCTCTCTCTCTCTCTCTCTCTCTCTCTCTCTCTCTCTCTCTCTCTCTCTCTCTCTCTCTCTCTCTCACACACACACACACACACACACACACACACACACACAGACATACACAGACACATCCTATACACCACAGTTTTAAAAATAAAACGAGATTATTGATCTAGTGACCGTTAGTTATGGCAGGTATTATGTACATTTTGACTATTCATACAGTGTAATAGACCATTCTTAGACTGTATTCAGGTGACCATGGGTCAACGAATCCAAATCGAGGCTAAGCTAGGCACCAACTTATAGATTTGTTAGAGTCAGGGACCAAATTATAGCAGATAAAGGTTTTGTTAAAATTAAGGAGAAAATTTAATAAACAGATAAACAGAATTTCCCATTCATAAAATGACAATTTTTTTTTAACAATTGTTTAGACATGAATCTTACCTATTTTTACGTTATCTAATGTCTGCATATGCATATACATATTGGGTGTTAAAATTCATCCATCTATCAACTCCATAAAAATAATATTAAATATAATCAGTGAAGAAGTTCAGATAAATAAGGGACCAATTTGTGTGTTTTGGGGCAGTGTGCTTTGACTATATATATATATATATATATATATATATATATATATATATATATATATATATATATATATATATATATATATATATATATACAAACATACAAACAAACATAAATACATAAATACATATATATATATGTGTATCTGTGTATATATATATATATATATATATATATATATATATATATATATATATATATATATATATATATATATATATATATATATATATATATAAACGGCTTTCAAATTCAAACAGCTTTGAACAAATAATCCAAATGTCTTGTGGGTAACTATATAACTGCCATTCTGTTATTGAAACAAAAAATGTGTTTGCATAAATAAAATGGTATATCCATATTGTTAGTGGAGCAATGATTTAGAAAAGATAAAAATATGTCATTTAAAGGGAAAATCCCAGTTCCTCCCACCCCCAGGTACCAAAGGCATCATGCACCATAAAAGCTACTAGGTTATGCACTTATGGTACAAATTGAAATGAAAGCATACCGACATATACCCAAAACTATTTAAAGCAAACCATAAAGTGTCTACTGGTTTTGGAGAAGATTTTGGTTAAAAGGGCAGTTTGTGTCACTATGCACATTTGGTAAATGTTTTATTCTGACCGTGTGTTTTGCCCAAAGTGATGATTAATCATAGTTGTACATTTAAATCTTACCTAATCAGAAACAAAATTCATGCTTTAAATAGTCTCTTTTTTCTATCATTAACTTGTATTATGTGTGCTGTTCTCAAAATGGACACTCAAGATAGGATGTAAATCAATTTACGTTTTGGAAAATGGACAAATCAATTAGGTTTTCGTCATTATAATATATGCAGCGGAACTTCTATTAAATATTCTTACGCAAAAGGAAGGAATCTCTATAAAAGACATTACATCAGGGGTGCACATACTTTTTCAGCATGCGAGCTACTTATGAAATGACCACGCCAAATGATCTCCCTACAGCAAAAATGCATAACATATATAGGCTGACGTTTATTTTTTTTAATGCTACGTGATCTACTAACACTACCGTCGCGATCGACCGGTCAATCGCGATCGACGTATTGTGCACCACTGCATTATATCCATTACAATCGCAGTCAATATAGCATATTCTCTTGCAAAAGGAATCTACGTAACATATTATATGTAGTATAGTCGCATCTGTCTAGCTTAGCCTCGTTTTCGCGAGACAATAATATTCATGAGGATCTCATTAATTATGGTCAATATCTACACTTCATTACTACAATAGGTACATTTCAGTTGTTGTTGTTGTTGTTGTTGTTGTTGGGCTTAACGCCATTTTTCAGCACACGATAGGCTATTCATGGCGGCCAGTATTAATGGTGGAGGAAGAAACCGGGAATCACCGGAAAGAACCACCGACCCACGAGAAGCTACTGGCCAGCTTTCCCACATATCCACATTTCAGATGTAAGTTTTATTTTTCCATACCTCTATAAAGATATGGAGAGTTTCCAGGCCTGACCATAGGATGTGCGGTGCCCAAGGCAGCAAGCGATGAGCGCGTGTCCCATGCAAAAATATTGCATTGCGGAGTAGCGCGGGGCACAACCAAGGCGCTTGCCCCGTTCGCCTTGCCCTAGGGCCGGGCATGCGCTTTTCGTGAGGGAACTCGTATTAGTACTTTGTGACGAAGCGCTTTTGAGAGGATAGAAAAAGTCTAATTCATGGCAGCAATACAATTATAAAAATAATTTTTAGCCAAATTTAGGCTGTGGACAGTAAGAATCTTATGATTAACGCGAGAAAACTATTTGTTTACAGGCTGCACAGGTGAAAATTATATTTCAAAGCAATACTATATTATTATCATATCAAATGTATACAGTTGTTTTCAAAATGACTTTTTCTTAAAGTATGCGATAAAACTACTTAGCTAAAATTCCAAAGGAAAGTTTACCTCTGAAAAATTGCTACATCACTCTTCCCAGACCAGAATGTAAAATGTTTAGCCATGATAACAAAAACAATCAGTTTGGAAGCTGAGATCGCTATAACACAATAATCATTAAAGTTAATGCATTGTACGGAGTCTGTGCATCCCACAAATTGATAGAGGCCTGCGTCGA